ACACACACACACACACACACACACACACACGCACACAGCCCTCATGAGCACATACCCAAAAAGCAAAACAGCCTCTTAAATTAAAACACAACACGTGTTTTAACCCAGAAACAAGCAATCTGGATTCCAGGAAGCCAAGACCCTGCTCACCACTCGCAGGGCTTCTGAAGACTTCTGGTGCATCTAAAGCACACAGATGGTGTCTGCTTGGGGAGAATGTGGTGATGGACAGCCTGACCATCCATGGAGTTTTACACAGAGACACATAGCTAGTTTCCCAACCTCCTTTCCCTCCTGCCAAGACCCAGCTGCTAGTCTTCAGCTGACCACATCTGAAGATGTACACAGAAAGTGCTGGTCTCTCCCTTCATTGTGCACTCTGTCACCAGTACTGCCTTCCCATTAGACAGATGAACCAAAGGCCCAGAAAGTGGGGGGCCAGCTGGCCATGATCAAGAACAGAGATGCCCCAGGCTCAGTGTCCTAGGGCTTCCCTGTTGCCCGGTTTCAAGCTTAGTGTCAAAAGAGTCAAGATACAAGGGTGACACACTTGTGCCTTGGAGCAGGAAGCCTCTGGGGGAATGTCTATCTCTAAGTCCCGTTGATGGCCCAGCTGAAATGGCTCCTGGCAGTTAGGGCCTGGGGCTGTGATGCTGACGGCAGGGGGAAATCCGAAGCCTCTGAATCCCTTGGGTGCCAGCGTGTTTGTCTGTCATAGTGTTATGCTGTTTCTTGCTTTGCCTTTTAAATTTAAGTTTGTATGCATGTATATTTGATTGGCAGCTGCCAACTGGAGGTGCTGTGGACACGGGTGAAGACTGGGCTGGCCAAGGAACAGAGCAGCGTGTCTCTGCAACATGCAAGGCGGATGCTCATGGTCACACGCTACATGGGATGGAGTGGCGGTACAGGGGCAACTTCAGGTCATGTCACAGAAGGTGGCCAAGACTGCATTTCCTTTGTCTACCAAATGAGCCCCAAGGGAGTCTCTTCCATGGGCATGGCTATGGAGCTTCTAGGGCTAGATGTAGAAGGTACCAACTACAGACCAGTCACTCTGGGTAGTAGCCACACTGGTACCCCTTACTGATGAAGTTCTGGTTCATATCAGTGGGATTTGAATAGGTTACATGGGCTGGTGGCCTGGGCAATGACACGTGGAAACTAGTAGTAAACTCCAGTGTAGGATTTCTATGTTGCACAATGACCCTCAAAGTAGTGCAGTGCATAGCCTGTACAGCCATACTCAGCAACCTTGGCTCTGAGTCAGTCTAGTAATTATGTAAGCAAATGAGCGTCAGTTTGCTTCCATGCCCCCATTCAAAGAAGTGGGACAAAGGATGGGAAATCTCATCAGGGAAGCTGCTGTCCTTGGAGTACAAAATTGCTGCTGCTACATACCTGCCAACAGGGCAAGTTCAGTGCACTGGACTGAGAAAGAGCTTAATAAATATTCAATAAGTGAATGACTACATGAATGAATAAATAAATGAATGAAAGACACTGGTGACTAGATGATGATGGCCTATTTTCTAAGCAGCAAAAATATCTCACACCTGTGTGCTTATGCATATGGCAGGTAGATGGTGGGCTCTAGTCTGTGGACTACGAGCTGCTGCAATGCCTGGGACAAAGAGTGATCTGAACAGAGAAGCAACAATAGATGCTTCCATTGGCAGAAGCTCTCTTAGGTGGCTGTCACTCATTCTTCTAATTCTACCACTGGAAAAATGAAAGGCAGACAAGAAGGGCAGACCTAGGCCACCATGCCAGGGCCCTGCTCAGCTCACTAACCAGAGTTCTACAGATACTTCCTGGGATGCTCCTTTGGGCTTGAAATTGGACTAGGTTGTCAAGACACAAAGGTACCAAGAGGAAACCCTTTGCTCTGAGTGTTCTAGGTGGGAAAAATGTGGGCACAGATCGGACACTCTAAGATGGTGTTCAGCACCCATGTGTGGGATAGTATGTGGGAAGGAGAGGGCTGGCCTTCAGCCTGAGCCTTGGGCATATTGTGACAAAGGCAAAGCCCACAGCTGCCTCCACCCAACTTCACACTTGATGCTGTAGGAGGCCAGTATTTTTTAGGATGTATTTCCATTTTTACAAAGTCCGATTTCACCAATGGGTGTTTATGCTACAGTCAGGGATGTGGTCAGAGGGCAGGCAGGACACACGGCACCTTGGAGGCCAACATGCAGCACAGGGCCAAGGTCTCCGAAGAGCTCCTCGGCTGTCCAGTGCTACAGGGCCCCCAGCCCAGTCCCTGCCTTGGGTGGGGAGACTCATGGACAGCTGAGAGGTAGTGAATGTTGCCTTTTTAATCTCAAACAGTTAGGAATGTTTTCCCAAATGCCAGTATGAGGATCGTGGGCTGGAATCAAGGAAAACAGCCTTGTTTTTTAGATCGCCTAAGCCTGTTATTTTTGTTCTCTAGTATACAGAAAAACTGCTATATGCTGTCTTCTGAAATATCAGAAAGATTAAAAAAAAAAAGTTCTGTGCCATCCCAATGCAGTCCTGATGAGACAGAGCTCATGGGATGGGCAGCTGGTGTTATGGGGATGAGCAAGTGTCTACCCTGCCGAACTCCAAGGGAGGGGAGAGAATGTGGGGTCCAACTAGAAGGTGGCCCCACTTCCCTGTAACAGAATGACTTAAGTACACTAACAAGGAGACCCATTCCCCAGTGCTCACTCTCCTTGGCTTGAGGTCCCACGTTCACACTGTCACCTGCGGCACACACCCACACCCACAATGACTGACCTTCTTCCTTTCCTTCCCTTCATCCATCCCAGCTCTGATGTCTGTTTTTCTAGGATCATCATGAAATGTCTCAAAGAAGTTCAAGGGCAGATCTGGACCCAACTCGTTGGTCTTGTGTGACTTTGTGACTCTGTCTGGCCGGAATAGGAGCCACTGGAGTCTACTGAGTGAAGCTGACAACCAGCGGCCAAGACCGAGGCCAAAGCATGAGGCTTCTCCCTGTCCCTGTAGCATTCCACTCTCCCAAGCTGCATGGCTGGGTCATGAAATCTCATTCCAACCCAGCAGGCTGCGACAGCTGAAGGTGAGGCAGGCCCAACACTTTAAGGCACACGGGACAGCACTTGAGCCTGTGCAGTGCAAACAACTGTTTAACTCAGTCTCAGGAGCCTCTGAGCAAGGACCACAGCTTATCCCGTGCTCAGTGTATAGTTGCATGGTCAATCTACAATTAGTTTTAATAAAAGCAATAACAGTAAGTTGAACCCAGGTTTCCTAATCCTCAGTCCTGCACTTTTCTCACTAGACCCCTCTATTTTGCCTCTAAAACATCACGGGCACCTGCGCATACATGCATCCGCACGTGGGTGCATGCTTCATTTGGTCCAAGTGGAGAACCTGGCAGGCTTTGCACCAACTTCTTTCCACCTCCAGCCTTCCTGTAGCCATCTCTGCTTAGACCCATCACAGAATTCAGAAGGGGGGAAGCGGAGAGGGAGGGAGGGAAGAAGGTATCCAATTCCCAGCTCATCTCCACCTTTTCACACCTTGGGCCCTGCAAGCAGGTGCTCCAGGAGGCCCCTCTGCTCCAACCCACTGGACTGAGTGGCTCCACTCACCTGGAGGCAAGTGAGCCCCAAGGAGATGCCTGGTCCTGACACCTTCAACTCCAGCAACCAGAAGAGCAGGAACCAGAGAAAAGGTGGGGGAAGTCCTAAGAGGGTCCAAAGGCTGCTTAAAATGCTCAGAGGACTGACCCAGGAGCTGAGCTCTAACCATCAAAAATGTTTTGTTTCAAAAACTGAATCAAAGAATAAACTTAAGTTCTCAAATATAAAATGATTGAATTCTGACGCTTCTACTTAAAATTAAGACACTTGACTCTATCCTCCCCAAATACAAATCATGTGCTCAGCATGTGGGGCACCAGGTCTATGTAGAATGAATTGCGGGGTGTGCCAGCTAGTTGTTGCTCTTTAGAGCTGTCTGGAGAGGAAAAGGCCAAGCTGACTTAAGAGAGACCCTAGCTAGAGCTCCGTGCATGGGTGCTCTTGAGTGTGAAGCACAGAGCTGAAGGCAGTGTGTTGGGTCAAAGAAGAGTTAAAAAGGGAGGTGGTGGCAGCAGGAGGAGGAAAGGTGACCCTGATATTCATATGTATGACCACACGAAAGAAAATAGCTAGCTAGCTCTGACCTCTGGAAGCAGCTCCTGCCTGGCAGCCCCACGCCCGCTCTAAGCACCAGGCACAAAGGACAGACACACTTGGGATCCAATTTGTTACACTTGCACCTTCCAGGGAGAGAGGGAGGTGAAATAAAAAAAGAAGAAGAAATCCCATTATCTTTATCTGTCCTTCCTATCAGGTGCAGTGGAAAATGCAAACGGGGGAGACAGCTGCTGTGAACTCTTTATATTTCACTCAGAAGATAGTGTATCTTTTTATTGCATACAGGAATTACTTATTTGAAAAAATATATCCTTTCAGCGTGACCTGAGCAGCGAGACAGAGCGGGGGTTCTCTATGGAGAGGCGGAGTTGCGGGGCTGTTGATAGAGCATTTGCATTAAACTGGAGGAATCTCTGGAGGTTGTGGGCAGCAGCAGAGGGAAAGAAGAGAGGCCCAGAGGCTTTGAGCCTGCCAGTGGAGGGAATGGGGCTTCTCTCCACCTCTGTGCAGTGTGCCCAGGCCCGGGCACAGTGCCCCTCAGCTGCGCATTGTCTCTCTGGGCAAGACCCTAGGATGGCACCCATAATTTCCTCTGGGGAGTGAAAGGAGACAAAAGACAGAACAATGGCCTGCCTCTGCTAGTGTGTTCAGAGAGGATGGATGGGGTTTTATACACCTCCATGCCTGGCACAGACTTTGCCATGGAGGAGGGTCTCTTAGGATATGCTCGTTGAAGACACCCAGCCTTGCAAACGGGTACCCAGCCTGCCCAGATGCCTGCAGGTGGAAACCCGATGGGGATGGCACACTTGATCAGTGTGGTGTCCCTAGGCACTGTGCTTCTAGAAGCCCAGCCTTGTGCATCCTTTGCCCTGTGAGCACCTTTCCTACACCTACACCAGATTTTGACAAAGAGAGCTTCTGTGATCTTCCCTGTGGTCCTGTGATGGTGACTTTTGGGTCAGCTTGGCTGGGCCAGAGTGCCCAAATATTTGGCCAAATATTATTCTTAATTATCCCATGAGGGTGCCTGTATGTGAGATTGACATTTCAATCAGTGGAATTAGAGTCTATTCTCCATAATGTGGGTCGGTCTCAAGTCAGGTGACTTCATGCATAGAGCAAAAGATTGATCACCCCTGAGACAGAGGGAATTCTGCCCACAGAGCCTTTCACTCTTTCTTGCCTGGCCAGTACGCCAGCTTTTACAGGGGAGATTTTGGACTTGAAACCCCTCCAGAATTGGTCCAACTCTTAAACACTCTTTAAAAGAAACCCCTTCTTTCTCCCATTCTCTTTATATGTATATGTATGTATGTGTGTATACAAAAACTCCTCAATTTAGGATGGAGTTGTAGTCTGATAGTTCACCCACTCTAAGTTGATAATATGATAAGATTTCTTAGCTAACCTACAGATCAACACAGCTTAGCCTAATCTACCACAAACATCCTCAGAACATATGGTAGCCAACAGTTGGGGTAAAATCACCTGACAGAACTACCTCAAGTAGTTTATTGATACTGTACTGTAAGCAAGACAGAATAGTTTCATGGATACATGTTCCTATTATCATAAAGTTAAAACAGTAAATCAGTTCATGAGTTTGGGGACTGTGATGTGTACTCATCCTCCAAGTTTCCTTTGCCTGCAGAACCCTTATGGTTCTTCCCTGTCTGGAAAAGGCTGGGTAGGGGCAGAGGCAGAGATGGGTGAGCTCTGGCCCAGGAGCACAGATGGAACACTGGGAAGGAAGAGGTACCCTCACCCTTGACAGGAGGGGTCAAAGCCAGGCCAGGCAGGCAGTGGGCTGAGATTTGATTTCCTTGGGACGAAGACAGCGTAGCTTAGGGGGTCTGCTTCCTTCAGAGCTGACCTGATACAGGTCATCCGTCTTTGCAGGGTCTGGACACCTGGAGAGGGGTGGCAGCTTCTGCCCAAGGTCCTCCACTGTGGGAAGAGGAGGCATAGTGGGGAGATGCTGTGTGGTGTTCTGCTATCTCACCCCCTGCCCAGTGCCTGGGTTCTCTGAGCCTGTGTGCCAGGTAGCCTGTGGGGTACATTAATTTGTGGTGATAATCACACCTTCTTTTGTAAATAGCTTTCAGGCTTTCAAAGTACTTTCACCTATGTGGTAGACCAGCTCCCTTGGCCCCACACCAGGGGGAATCAGAGGCTCAAGCGTGTGGAAGGGGCAGTGGTCTCTGAGGGGGCTTCCTTTTCCTTATTGTGCAGCCTGCCTTGGAGCGGAAGGAAGTCCAAGGTTTGAGGAGCAGCTCACTGCTCTGGCTTTTGTACAAAAAAGCAGGAAACTTGTAAGATGAGCAGGGAGGCCCCTCCAGAAAGGAGCCTGAAGCCTTTCCACTGTGGGGCTCACATTGCTGAGAACCCTCCTCTTTGGCCCCTCTCCTTCACTGGCATCATTGTGGGGGTGGCCCAGGAGCATGTGGGGGGGGTAGAGGGAGCCTCGCTGTGCTCCTGGGAGCCTGGAGCATGAGCCGCTGGGTGAGTGTGGTGTTGTGGAGTGGCCCCCTAGACAACCACACTGTGGCTGTGGGGTGAGCTTTCCTATTTCCATGAGAGCCTCATTTTGCTGGGTTTGTACTCCCAAATCAGTAAGGGATTACTTTATATATCAATTTTCTAAGCTAATAAGCAACTCTGCCCCTCCCAGTCTCAGATGAGGGGGTTCCTAGGATGGGGAGGACTGATCCTGAGCAGCGGCCACCAGACATGACAGCTATGTTCTCTCTTCAGGAGATCTTCAGGCATAGAAGGGCTGCTCCCCACATTTGCTTCCAGAGGACAAACCCAAGAGTTTTGGATTGAGGTGATGTCAAGGAATGTGGCCCCCAACCCTTGCTGAGCTCCATCAAGCGTTTAAGCTCCCACAGCTGTTCACCACCCTTGAAGGGCAGAGACGCTGTTCCTGAGTGACCACTGGGCTCAGTTCTGTAAGAGGAGGCTCACAGAACCATCTGCTGCTCACCCTGTTGGAAGTGATCCCATCCGAAGTCCAGAGCGCCCCCTCCCACATGCCCATACATTCAGGGGCTCCTTCCCTGTACCAGCACAACCTCTGCAAACTCGCTGTCCCATGTAGACACTTGGTCTTCTAGCAGCTCTTCCTCCCAGCCCTTGTCAGGAAAGTCCTCCCACCCACTTTGCAGAAAAGGAGATAGGAGCCCTGTCCCAGCCGTGGCCCACAAAGGAAGCACCCAGTTAACCTACTCAACTCTTCCTGAACAGCCCACTAGAGAGCACCTCATGAATCCTCTGGGGAAAGGAACACAGAACCTTCTGGTCACTGCCCCTTACCTTGTCAATCTGTGAGATCTTTGCGGCAGAACAGTGAGTCAAGTGCATGCATACACACATGCGCCCACCCAATTCCTATACCAATGGACACTTCCACCCCCAGCCACCTACCCCATGCTGCTTCCTCCATGTCCTGGAAGCAGCATGCTCAGGATACCTCCAAAGTGGAGGGGGGCATCCGCTCACCCAGCCTCTCTCTCTAGGCATCCCAGCACAGGGCAGAGGGCCATGCGCATCCAGCCCAGAGCAGAGCAGGAGGAAACAGGATTAAATGAAGAAGGGAGACTGTAAGGGAGTTAGCAGGACTGCCTGGTCCTAAGAACCTTTAGGCAGTGGAATCTGGGGAAGTGGAGCAGCTGGGGGAGAGGGTGAAAATTCCCTCTGGATTTCAGCAAACAACACAAATGCCCATCTGTCTTGGATGGCTCAGCTCGAGCCAGCTTAGGGGCCAGATGGATGGGTCTGAGGTCTCTGGGGCCCCACTTCCCCACTGATTGCCAGGAATCAATTTCCATCTCTCATATTCAGCATCAACAAACAGGTACATGCAGTGTCCTGATCAGCTTTACTCCGGGAACCAACGATAGCAGGCAATACTCACCAAGTGTGTACTATGGGCTGCAGAGAAAGGCCTTTATGTACATTACTCTGGGCTCCTACTACAAGGGAGGTACTATTATGATCTCCACTCTATATGGTAAGGAAACTAAGGCACGGGAAGGTTAAATAACTAGGCCAAGGTCACACAAGTAGGACCTGATGGCACCAGGAATAAATCCAGGTGTCCCAGAATGCTGGAACTGCCACTTTTCCACCCACCTCTTCAGAGCCCTGGGCTCCCTGGGAGGATTGCCCCTGGATAACAGCTTGCACATGCTCAGGCAAACCGTAACTGGATCTAAGAGCAGCTGGCTCAAAGTGGCATGCCCTTGTTTATATAGGCTGTGCGATCTATTCAGGGAACATTCAAGTACAGTGTCATCCTGCTCCCCAGCAGGCTGTCGTATCTCATTTTTCTTCATCCTTTCTCTCCATTCTCTATGGCTGACCCAGATCCCTCAAGCTGTGGATATTCAGCAAAAATTACAGGCCCAGAACAGAGGAGAGGGGATGAGCCTGGGGAATAGCAGAGGTAGCGGCAGGACCTTGACCACAGGGACTCAGATTGACAAGTTTTGCCTTGAAGTCCCTTCATTCAGACAACCCATATCCAGTCCAAGCCCTTAGTCACTCAGAAGACCTCAGATGTACCACCTACGGGCCAGATGGCACTGGACTGCCACGAGACCTGTGGCCCCTTTTCTGATCATTACTTATGATCAACCCTGGCCATGAAAGTAAACCCATGGGATCCTCAGTGTCCTCCCCTGCTACTCCCTGCACCCTGCTCCACCTGCTGCAGCCCGGAGAGGGCAGGAGGTGCTCAGGACCAGCTGTGGAACAGCCGACTAACCAAGGTCCATGTCTGCAGCCTTGGGCCGGTGGGAGCAGGGCACATTCTTGAAGATGGCATCTAGAATCTTCTCCTTGACCTGAGTGATGGTGTCACAGTTGAGGATCTTCACGGGGACCTCGGAGCTGTTGGCACTGTCTGGGCTGACACAGCTCAGGACCTGTGAGGATGGGGAGAGGTCACAAGTTTGAAGGTAGCAAGAACAGCAAGAATGGCTCCTTTTCTCTAGGATGGACTGGGGGAGCAGGGGGGACTCCAGCCCACCCGCACCCCCACCAGACCCATGCAAGCAGGACCCCACAGCGGCCTCAGTGCCATTGCAGGAGTTCAAACTGCGCACTTAACTCCCATCAGGGCCAACATCATGAAGCCCTGATCTTCAAAGGGAACAGAGCCTGCGCACAGGGAGGCAGCGAGGGAATCTGCAATAGGCTGGCTTAAATGCTCGCAGGCACACATGGCCTCAAACGTGTGTGCGCCCTTCAGGGGACCTCAGTGCCACAGCATGTGCTCACCCACCTTGGGATCCCCACCCAACCCTGTGCACCACTCAGTCCCTCTTGATACTCTGTCTCCGACACTCAGCACTTAGTGCCAATGGAAATCAGGCTCGTGTCTTAAAAGATCTAATAGCTCTGACTGTGAGGAGAGGCTGGGGCTGAGAGAAGGCTGGAGAAACCATATATTCATTAGACATGAGAAGATGTGCTTCAAAAAATTGCAGGTTGATGCAACCTGAGATTCCTTCCTGGTTCTGAACCTGAAGTCACGGTCAGAGTTCCAGGGAACACGGCCATGGCCTGGCTGGTAGCCTCTATTTGTCTTTTGAAAACAGAGCAGAAAAGTTAGTTAAAATCTCAGGTCACTATTTTTTTTTTCTTTTAAGAACATCAAGGCTTTTCCTCTCCTGCTGTTCTCATGTTGTCTTTTCTGCACTGTGGGGCCTCCTGGGTGATGCCAGTGACCAGCACAGGTACTGTGGGGGTCAGGAAAGAGTGTGAGCACTAGAGCCAGGCAGAAGAGCCCTCCTGTCTTGGGGGCTGCAGCCAGGTGGCCCTGCCACCCCAGGCTGGCTCTCCCTCTGCAGCCTAAGCCCTTTGCATGCCTCCCCCCATCCCCTTCCCTTTCACTCGCTCTGTAACCATTTCCCCATGGACCCATCTGGTTTGCAGAATGAGACAGCGGCCCCTTTCCAGCCCATGTGGTGATAATCAAGACCCAGCTCTGGACGCCTGGCTTTCATTAGCAAGCAGACTGCAAGAGCTCAAAGGAGGGACGTGCTTATTGCATTAAGAAGAAAACAATTACCCTAAATCTATAAAACCAAGTGCTCACCCTCGAAATCCCCTAAACTGAAAATCCTGATGGTAGAGCCTGTGGACTATGCTTTCACATGTGCCTCCTGCTAGCGGCTGCCCTCGACTGAGAGCGTTCTAGCACTTTCCTCCCTCTCAGTAGCCGTGCGTAGTCTGGCCCTTCTCCCTACTGCTGTGGGCCTGCTGTCCTGTCCTCTGGGATGGTTCAGTCTTCCCAGGGCAGCAGTGCAATTTATCCAGCTTTCTTCCTTGAGATCATGACCTGCCACCTGAGGTTGATCTCCTGGCACTTCTACTGCCCCAGCAGTTCAGTGGCCTCATGAGAACAGCTCCACAGTGTGCTTCAGGAAAGGAGAGGGAGCAAGGGCCCTAGAAGGACAGTGTCCCTGGCCAAGGGACGTGCCACAACTTACCTAAGAGCTCCATTCCTATCCTGATTATTTTCTGAACAAACGGCCTGCTGCTTTCTCTGCTAAGGAAATGGCCCTCACACAGAAGGAACCACTGCGTGTGGCACAGACTCGGCCCCTGGACACCTTGGGCAAAGAGAAAGTTCTACGTCCTAGCAGGCTGCCAGGGGGGGCATCTAGCCATCTGGTGAGCTTCTAGGTGACTATGTAGCACTCCAGCAGGCTGCTGGGTAGGCATCTCGTCTAGCAGGCTCCCAGGTGTGGGTGATAAGGGTCTGGCACACTGCCCTCAACAGGGCCTTGGTCTGAATTCTAGCATCAGTCTAATTAACCCCTCAAAACTTAGGAGGTGCTCTCAATGTGCTCCGAGCACTCGGAGTCCCTGGATGGCTATCCCTCCTGCCCAGGGCAAGGTTACCATCAGCTAGCCCCAAAGAGCCCCAGGCTCCTCCAGCTATGGCCAAAGCCCACTATCGCCTACTTTTGCATCCGACCCTCTCAGCTGGACTTACTGCTGCCCTTCTTCCCTCCCTCTTCACGATGGCTGGGGGCCTCGCCCAGGCCTAGAGGGGACTAGCCAATAGTCCTGCACGGTGTGTCCCCAAGGAAACCATTACACCTTCTTCCCCTTTGCTCCCTGCTCAGTGTTGGATGCGCAGCCCTGACCCACTCCAGTTTCCCTGCAGCCTAAGTGAGTCATCTGGAAGCAGCTGGGGCACTAACAGTCCTCTGGCCTCTGGAATGAAGGCTGCTGCAATTTAGTGGCAGCATTATCACGACTCGCTGTGTTGCACTCGATATATAGAGGAGCTGAGAGGAGGCAATGGAAGGGAGCGGAGGGGTTGGGGCAGGAAGGAGACATTTAAAGGTAGCTCTCTCTCTCTCTCATTAAGAAATCCACTCGGGCCTCTATTTTTGGAAGGGTTTTTCTTCCATTGCCATTTTAATGGGGGCCTCTGGCTCTCCTCCACAGCAGACAACAGCTATGAAGGAGCTGGGGTGCCTCTCGGTCCCTGCAGGGAGGCAGGCCCCATGGGGACACTGACACTGCAGATCCTGCTGGGATTCCCCTGGCTCCAGTGAGTAGGGTAGGTGGATCATGGTTATAGCCTGCCAGCCAGGAGGGGAGGCTCAGTTCAGAAGTGGGGATCATCTCTCACGCCTGCCCAGGCCAGGCTACTGGTGGTAAGAGTTTGTTTGGGAACCCACCCTTCCCAGCTCTGCCCCACCCTGGCCTGCATTTTAGTGCCGCCAATCCTGTGCCCCCTGCACCGCCTTGCTTTCTCGCTTGCCTCCATTCTTGAGTGCCTCCTGCGTGCCACCTCCAACACTCAGCTTTTGTCTTACTTTCTTATTTCTTTTACTTCCTCTCCTTTATCTTGAAAAAAAAGGTGTAACGGAAGGATTTTTTTTTTTTTTTTAAAAAGAACTTTTGCCAATAAAAGCATGAAAGTGAGCTCCCTGAGACTGCAGAGGCAGCCGCAGCCAGCAGCAGGATGGACAGCATTGCTGGAGGGGGCTGGCAGGGCCGCCCCGAGTGACCAAGCAGAGTGCACAGTTACCCTGGGCCCCCAACTCCCCTCTGGACAGCTGTGATGACCCCCATTTCCATAGGTTCTACTACTATTACCATTATTATCATTGTTGTTGTGATTGCCATTGTTACTGTTATTATTGTTACTTCCTTTTTGCAGGTAAAGAAACCCACACTCAAAGAGAGTGGAAACTTGTCCCAACTCAAAACTAATCAGAGGCAGAGGCAGGACTCAAATCCTGGGCTGATTCCATGGTGGGCTCTTAAAAGCACTAAGCTCCACTGCTTCCTAACACAGTCGCTGATCTCAGGAGGAAGCCTGACCTCGACCCAGGCCAGCCCTATGCTCCTTGTGCCAGTCAGCCAGCCTAGTTACACGGCTACACGGCTTGGTTACAGCCCCGTGCGAACCTTGCCTGGTGGGTAAGGGTTGCTTTTAGAACCACAGGAACTATTTGTAGTTGCCTTCCCTGCGCACCACTGCCTGCAGAACCCTACTCTGTGTAGTGCTGATTCTTTGAGCATCAGGAGAGTGGATGGAATGTTGCTCACTAGAGACTGTTGGCCCTGCTGTTGGGGGCTCCAACCTTGTGATTCAGCACCTGGTCTGAAGCTAAAGCAGGCCACAAGTTGAAGACCTGCTGAGACACAGCAGACCCACTAGGTGCCTTGGGGCTGTGGTCCAGAAGCGGTCTGAGGATAGGGGACAGGGCAGCACTTGGCTGAATGCCTGCAGGAGGCACAGTTAGAAAAGTGGCTCTTCAGCATTGCATCTGTTCTTTCTACAGAGTAGGGCTGCCTTGAGGCCACAGCCCACGGGCCAGGGGTTGGGGAAGAAGCAGCGACGGTGGCTCACCAGGGTCTTGTACTCAATCTGTTGCCGGATGAGCTTGTCTTCACTCAGGGAATAGCGGGCCTCACCCGTGATGGCGTCAATGGGTCCCTTCTCCATCTGCTGCTTGATGGCACAGAACAGGGAGAAGAGGGGCTCCCCAGCACACTCCTGGATACAAGAAGAGACATGAGGCACAGCTCTGGGACCACAGAGGTGCCGGGCCCACACTGCATGCCCGCTTGCCCGCCTCCGGTCCATCCTTCCTCCTGATCCCACCTGCTGCCTTGAGCAGGGTAGATTCTCCAAATGACTCTCCACTCTTTAGACACAGTGTCTTCCCCTACTCTACACTTTCCTGTTCCTTTTCCAAGGCTCCCTCCCTCTGTTCCTTCTCCCTGGCTCTCAGAGGTCCAAGTAAAAGACAGAGGTCCATTCTCTGTGACAGGAAACCATTAGGAAGCAAGTTAGTAGTTAGAAGCTCAGTAGGGCAACCTCTACCCCACACAGACTCAGCTCGTCTGCCAAGATGGCAGCTTCCAGACCTGCCTGGACCCTTATCAGCTTCCCTAAGTCTGAGGGTGGGAGAGGGGACAGGAAGTTGGGGCACAAAGGATAAATGATTTGTAGCTTAAAATAAGGATCTAGCTGCCAGAGCGCATCTGTCCCCATCACACAAGATGATGCATGCTATGCAGGATTGTGTCTCTGAAGCTAGCACTGGTCACAGGCTCTGTCTGCTATGATAGCTTACAACAAGGGGTGACTCCATTTTGGGGGGTTAGAAGCACCAGGCCTCCATGAGTCTGGATGTGGGAGGCATGGAGTAAGTTAGAACAGGCCAGGAGGAGGAGGGCTCATACCCAGGATAGGGTGACCATGGCAGGACTAGGCATACATCCATAGCCTCTCCTACCTTGAGGAACTTGTAGAGGAGGAACGTGAACCAGTTGGTCAGCATCTTCTCAGCCACTGACTCAGTCCTGTCCCAGTCACCAAGGGAAGGAGCAGAAGAAGACAGAAAGAAAGAGTTTGTCAGAGCTCATTGGTTGGGTATGCAGAGCAAGGAACTACCTCCACCTTGCTGCTAGGGCTCTTAGGACAAATCGTAAGATCTTAACACATGGGAAAATTTTGATGGCCTTATGCTCCAGGGTGGTAGTTTTCCTACAAAGCTGGAGGGTGACATGTCAGCCATCGGGCTTCAGGTTCGCACCACAGGGGTGGGTACCTGGGCCTGTATTGGGACAGAACGGTCAGTTTCGGAGCACTTTGTGATGCTGACAATGTCCTCTCTGATGCCGTCCACAAGAGGCTGCCTGAGCACCTGAAGTGAGGCCAGAGTGCCTGGAGAACTGAAGTTTTCATTTTATTGACTTTGATGAGTTTGGATTTCAGTAGTCACCTATGGCTGGTAGCTCTGCTGTTGGGCAGTACAGCCTCAGTGAACTCCATAGGCTGACGTGTTCATTTGAGTCCAAAAAGAAACATAGAAACAAAATAAACAAATACTCAGAGAGACACTATTTTGTGATGGTATAGAGAGGAAGATGGGACAGGTGGTCCAGGTCAGATTATCTAGTTCAGACAGACTGCATAATCCAAGAATCCCAGCACTGGCAGCAATGTGGAGCTGCAGACTAAGTTCATCCCAAGAGATGTCACACTGTGTCATTGCAAAGGCCTTCGTACACTTTGGAACTTCTCCTAGGAGCTGTCTCTCATATCATTTCATTTGCAGTGGCAGGAAGTCCCTTTTTGGTTCTAGCCTGCAACTTTTATGCTATGACCCAAGGCCACTTCTTACTTTTTATCTCTGTCTCTGTCTCTGTCTGTCTCTGTCTCTCTCTTTGTTTCTCCCTCTCTCTCCCTCCCTCCCTCCCTCCCTCCTTCCCTCCTCTGTCCCTCTCCTGTGCAGCACCTGGTTACACTTTGGGTTGCATCCTTTTACTGAAGGTGAATCACATTCAAACTTGTGCTAAGCACTTGACTTGCTCCAGAAACAAACTAGCCTGTCCAGGTAGTTTGGGTGGAATATAACATTACAATTGCCAGAAAACACTAATAACTAAAATCCCAAGTAATTTAGGTAGTTTCTGGCATGAAGTGAAGATAGGAAGAAAAGAGAAGAAAGAACATTAAAAGGCAGAGACAGCCAGGAGCAAGAAGAAGAGACTGCAACAGAGGAGAGCAGAAGGAACAGAAGCATTAGGAGAAGCAAGAGGAGAAAACAAGATGGGGTCTGCAGAGACTGCGAGACCACGCCAGGAAATTGTCGGTGGGAGCTCTGGCAGGCAGCGGCAACCCTAGAATTATGCCAGTGGGTGGCTGCGTGGTGAAAGTAAAACAAAAATCAAAATGATCTACCTTGCTGTTTCCAAAGCTGTATGACTGCTCTACCGCACAGCAACCTTTCACAGCTGTGCAGGAAAATATGACCCCCATACCAGGAAACAGCCCACAGCAAATGCTTCTGAAAGCCAGATCTACGCATTGGGCCACCTGGGGCCACTGAGGCTGGGCCTCAGATGCAGAGACCAAGGGTGAAGGCAGGAGGACAGGCAGACAGGAGTGGAGAGTCAGTGCATGGTCTGGGCAGGGGGCCGGATATGACAGCTTCACAGTGGAATTGTCTAACTTCAAATACGAGAAGGCTAGAGACACTGGAATACAGAGCAAAGAAGACAAGTAGCCCTTTCACATGTGGGAGTTAGGTGGAGAACGAGCACCTCTGTTGCCCATAAGAGGAGACTAAAGGGTATGATCAAGGGCTTGTATCTGACCCTGCAGGTTCCAACAGTAGGAGGCAAATATCCATGTGCAGCCGTGGACCTGGAGCCACTCAGCCTGTAGCAGGGGCCAGGAAGTACTTGCTGGGCTGCTCTGGGTAAGGTGTCCACAAAGGCTTCTCTCAGGACTTCTCCTACTTTTGATTACAGGAACATTCAAGTCACTGGGATCCTCACTGGAATGCAGATTCTGATTTAGTGGGGCAGAAAGGACCTAAGCCTTTCTGTAGTACATTTCTAACCACCTCCTGGAGGCTGCTTCTGCTACTGGTCTATAGGAAGCACGAGGCTGTGGGGCTCTTTATTTCCAGCCCCAGCTTTGGAAAGGCCAGGATGGTCTAAATGACCTCTGAAGATTTTGCAAGGAAATAATTCCAATAGAAAGGATCAAAATTCAGGGGGTAGAAGGGCAGAGAAGGCAGAATGGAATACAGGGAGAAAGAGGGTGAAGTAAAGATCATGGCTGAGTTCCAGGCACTTGTGTGGTGGACAACACCTCCCAGGAGGGGGTGCTGCAGGCTGGCCTCACAGGTCAGTGTCCTGCCCTTAGGGAGCAAGCCTGTCCTTCCTGCAGTCTCTGGAAAGCCCCAGGAGCTCAGCTGCAGATGGGCAGGGGCAGGAAGTGCTCTGATCCCTGCCAGCACATCCTCACCTCCTGAGCAGTAGCTTCGGGTGGTTCTTGCTCTCCAGGTTCTTGTCAATGAGGTCAGCCAGCAGCTGCTTCAGCACGTCGGTGGCATACTCCAGCTTGCTCTGCAGCACTGTCATGATGAGCGAGGCCACATTGCCTCGGTCCCGCATGGAGAAGCTGCGCTGGGACTCAAGTGTGCGGATGAAGGAGAGTAGGAACACCTTGTTATTGATGAGCTGGGCGAAGAGCTTCAGGCCTTTCTCCACGCGCTCCTGCCGGTACCCTGGAACCTGTGGGAGAGATCGGGGGTCTGGATGCCAGCTTCTGGGTGCTCTGCCAGCCTCCTGTAGGATGGCTGTGCCCACACTGTTCACTCTCCCACTCCACCTCTCACCCACCGCTATCACTCCAGATACCTGATCAGCACTAGCAAGTCCCTCTCTGGAGCTGGTTCTGTGCCCAGCACCTGCTTGGTCTCCATCACGCCCCATGTGATGGGCCATTGTCTCCAGTACAGAGAAGAACCAAATGAGGCTCTGAGAGCAAAAGCCAAGGTTTCTAAGCAATGATAACAGGATTTGAATGTACTTCTGCTGGGCTCCAGAGCCGGACCTCCTCCCTGATGGTGACACAGGGCTGAGGAGGGGCTGTGCACAGCAGAGTGACCCAGCATGCACCCCTCTGGCCCTAAGGAGCCTGTGGACAGGCAGGTGGCTCGAGTCAGGATTTGGGGGGTTCCACATAGTCTTGGCCACACTATGCCATATAACCTCAGGCAAGTCCCTTTACTTCTCTGGGTCCATGAATTTATCCATCTAAGAAAAAGAGGGAGATGGAGCCCGGCAGTCTGAAGAACTCCCTGACTCTAACATGTGGTGTTTGCAGAAAGCCTTTTTCAGCATGGCTTACCACCTGGACAAAGGGACAACGTGTTAAAAACCCACGTGTATCTCCTGCCACACAGACAAGCCACTGATGGCAGCTGTTCTATCCTGCTCTATAGGCCAGAGAAAGCCTGTCTACCTGAGATCACATAAGGTGGGAGAAAGGTTCATGCCACTCATGACTGAGCCTTGCCAAGTTCCAGGGTTGGGGCAAGGTGCAAGCAGGGGGCAGGTGTGGGGCGGCCCCACGTCCTGTCTTGGAGACCACTGCTGAGTCACAGGGCCCTCCTGGAATGGGCACTGCTGCCTGCCCTGCCTTTACCGAGAAGAGCTCTCCCGATGTATCCTGGTTGCCTGGCACAAGCAGGTCCCATGAATCTGGAAGCTGGTAGAAAACATGCGGGCTATCAAATCAGGTCTGTTCTCATCTTTCTTGTTACAGTGCTTGGAGTGTGTGGGAGAGCTTTCAGCTACCCTGTGCCCGTGGGACCTGTCCAGTCCAAACCCAGGCACAGTGTGAGTGAGACCCTCTTCCACACCCTTGGGACTCCCCTCACCATTCCACAGCACCCCCCCATGCCTGCCAAATGAGTGAGAACTTCTGTTGCATTCTGGGGACCCCCAGATCTAGCCCTAGCCCAGGCCCGGTGAGTGGGTGGGAAAGCCTCCCCTCTCCCCTACTCCCCCTTGTCCCCTTCAGTCTCAGCTCAGGCTTGGCATACAGGCCTGGGGTAAAACTCTGCAGTTGCAGTCCCTGCAGAGAGAGTAGGGGACTGAACCACCCAGCTAGCCTAGGAGCAGAACATCTTGCCAGAGGGGCACAACAGGTTCACTCCCCAAGGGTTGAAGCAGGAAGGAGCTGAGCACAGCAGCCAGACCCAAGCCAGGCACAACTGGATAAATCCAAACTTTGTAGTTCTGCACCTGAACTTCAGTAGGTGCTAAGGTTATAACTGCATCAAAGCAATACAACAAAGGTCAGAAGACAATGCTACACAAAATGACAACAAGAAGGAGCAAAATGTAATCTCAGACCCCAAGCCCACCCATAACAAGTGCAGAGGACACTAGCACAGAACAAATTGGGAATCACAAAGCTGAAATCAATGAATCAACAGCTTCTGAAATAGAGAAACAACTGCAGAAGGTATAGAGGAACTCAGATTGGAAATAAAAAAAGAAATCCCTGAATTAATAGCATCTGAAGTAAAGAATCAAATGCAGAGACATATGGAGGAAACCCAATGCCCACCCAGAACAAGTGCAGAGGATACTAGCTCAGCTGAAATGTGTGAATTGTCACAGTGCTTGTACTTTGGAAGGCCAGTTCCCAGGAGACAAAGGGGAACTTGCCTATAGGGAAGAAGAAAGAGCAAGTGCCAGCCAGGGACATTTCTGACACAGCCCCCAGTTCCCTGCTCCCTTGGGAGCTGATAAGGGGTTAGCAAGGCTCCTGATCCCCTTTGCTGCACCACTGTCCAGACCCTGCTCTGCCTCCTTGCCATACTGTGGTCACCCTTCACACATATAGCCACGCCTGACTTCCTCTGCTCTTTCAATTTTTTTATTTACTGATTTACTTTTTTATGTATTTTGTACAAGGTCTTACTATGCAGCTCGGACTCCTAGTGATCCTCCTGTTTTCAGCCTTTCCAGTGCTGGGATTACAGCGTGCACCACCATGCTTGGTCTTGATAGTCGGGGGTCAAACCCCAGTCCCTGAGCTTGCCTAAGCAGGTGCTTAGTCCACTGAGCTCTCTTGCCAGCCCCATCCTCTGCTCTTTAACATACTCAGAACAGCATGTCTCTGGAATGTCCAAACAGTAACAGATACTGCTATTTACTGGGCACTTACCATGTGCAGCACACAGTGCTGGACACAGTATGTATATTATTTAAATGAGGTCTTCTAATGACCAGACTACAAGGTAACAGTCTCCCAGAGCAGTCCAAATTTGTGCCAAGGCCACCCAGCTGGTGATGGCCAGCTCTGGATTTCCAATCTCAAGCTTGTGTAGCCCCTGAACATCTAGCTCTACTCTCCACCTGTCTCCGGTCCAGCACTGTCACTGGGCTCTACAGCTACCTAAAAAATCAATGCTGCCTTCTTTCTGTAGCCTTCCTTCCCAGCAAGGCCTTCTGGCAGTTCAGGCTGTCTGTCAAAGGGAGAGCATCGTGGGTAGGTTTGGCACCATGGATCTGAGCAGGAGAAGACACAGGGACAACTAGATGGCCCAGTTGCCATGAGGATGCTCTGGACTTCTTGCCCTTGCTGCACTTTCTCCATGTGGCACACATTTGCCTGGTGGGAAAAAAGAGCCTGGGGCCCTGGGCAGGAGGGTTTTAGCACAGCTACCTGCAGGATGGAGCAACCATGTCAGACACCGCGGAGAAGAATGCCATCACCTCTGGGCTCTACTGCCTCATGTGTAAAGTGAGAATATGAATGCCTATGTCATAATGTTTTATGAACATTGAATAAGATAATGTATGCAAAGTGCTTGG